TGGTGCGGAAGGAAGCAGAGAGAATGGTCAGGGAAGCGCCAGCAATGTAGAAGCAGCAGAGGGGAGCAGACAGGACCCCTCCTGGCCCCGTGGCACAAGGCAACATGGCAGGCAAACCACCCAGCACTTGAGAGGGCTGTAGGGATGGCAGCATCCTCAGAGGGGAAGGGAACCAGGTTTTCGTTAAAGCAAGAAGGTGAAGGGACTGTTCAGAGGACAGTTTGAGGATAGAGGGGGTTTCGCTAATGAATAGTCAGTGGGTTCCAGAGGGTAGGCTGCCCAAGTTTCCAGAACTGAGGGAAGGTGGCAGATGAGGTCAGATTAGGAGGGGTTAGAATTCAGGTGTTGGGTGGTGACCTGGGAGTTTAGGGCTTCTTTTTTTTTTTAATATTTTATTGATTTATTTAGAGCCCAGCAACTGCACACACAAGGCAGGGGGAGGGACAGAGGGGGAGGGGAGGGAGAGAATCCCAAGCAGACTCCACGCTGAGCATGGAGTCAGACTCGGGGCGCGCTCCCACGATCCCGAGATCACAACTTGAGCCAAAACCATGAGTCGGGTGTTTAACCAACTGAGCCACCCAGGTGCCCCAGAGTTTGGGGCTTCTTCTAGTGACTGAGGTGACCAGGGATGGAGGGCATAATGGGATTGCTTGTCTCCGTGGCAAAGCATGGTGGTTCAGCTGGCAGGGTTGCGCACTGGGAGAAAGGAGGTCATACTCTGGCCATGGACAGAGTCTGTGCCCGTCATGTTTTAGGCAGTCTGAACCCAAAGGCCTGCTGGGGTGTATCAGTCTGCTCTTTGGATTAAAAAAAAAAAAAAAAGTCAAACAATGTAGAAACATCTAAAAAAAAAAAAAAAAAAGGATGTTGTCTTGGGTGTGAGAAGGAAGCTGATGACCTGTGTAGTTTAAAACATTTTTAGTGATTTTTGTTTTTCAATTGCTGTGATGGTAGGACTTTTGGTCTAAAGCCTCAGGAATCTTCCAGCTAAAAAGGCACCAGGATAGGTACGTTGGAGTAGCATTCCAGATGTGAGCTCTGTAGGGCAGAAATGAATCAGCGAAGCGGAACTTCTGGGGCAAGTATGGCACTTTCCAGATTGTGTTTGTGCAAATGGGGGAAAGAGGGTGGCGGAGGCTCTGTGAGAAAGTTTTGGGGACTCAGGACAGACCAGTGCTCAGTAAAGAAAACTACCCGTTTTCTTCTTCAGTGCTGAGTGTCCTTTACCCCCGCCCTTGCCCCATCTCTTCCTCGTTTTTTTTTTTTTTAAAGGTTTTATTTATTTGAGAGAGAGAATGTGCTCGAGTGGGAGGAGGGGCAGAGGAAGAGGGAGAGACAATCTGAAGCAGACCCCGTGCTGAGCATGGAGCCTGCCGTGGGGCTCGATCCCACCACCCTGAGATCATGACTTGAGCTGAAACCAAGAGCCAGACACTCAACCGCCTGAGCTGCCCAGGCGCCCTGCCCCGTCTCTTATTTGGATGTCATTTCACAACTCTGTGGCTCAGTTTCCTTATCTGTCAAATGGGGATGACCACTGTTCTTGCTTCACAGAGACTTGTAATGGTTAAGTGCGATAGCTAGCGCCTGTAAAAGTGTGTACCCAGCGCATGACGCAAAAGTACTTAGTAAGCATTGTTACGAAATGACAAGGGGTTGATTCTGGCTCCCATTCCGCTCCCTGCTTCCTGCAACTTGGTTTTTTTTTTTTTTTTTGGTCCTTACGCTGCCCTCCTCTCTTTCATCTCCTCCCTCCCTTCTCTCCCAGTTCCTCCCACGCGCCCCCCCCCCACACACACTTCCTCCTTTGCCTCTCTCCCCTTTCTCCTCTCTGGCTGGGGCTTTCGGCGGTGCCCACACCTAGTTTTACACTCTCCGTGGCCCTTCTGAGGTGGGGAACTCTTGAAATAGGGGGTGAGGCAGCCCTCCGAGGAAGGAAAATGTTTCTGGGAGGGGGGCAGCCTCCCAGCCACCCTAAGATTTGTGACCAGGGTGCCTAGAGAGTCACAGAGGGCTAGTGCCAAGAGCCTCGGGAGCTGAGAGGCCTGTGTTGTCGGCCAGGTCTGGCCACTGCATGATATGGGGCCCGGGCTCACAGTGGACCAGAGCAGGCCGCGAAGGTGAGGAGTGCGCGGACAGGGAAAGGCTGGGCCCAGTTCCCATGTGGAGGGTTACCGCACACCCACTAATCACAGCCGTGTCACACTTCTTTAGGAGAGAGGGGAACAGGAGGGTAGGGTGCCAGCTGATACTATAAACTTTAGAGCCAGACTGCCTGGGGCTGGATTCGGTCTCTGTTACCACATGAGCTGGGTGTGCTTAGTCAGCAAACCTCTCTGTGCCTCAGTTTCTCGTATCTGGAGATAATGGGAACAGCACAGTTGTTATGAGGACTAGGTGAATTGATAGTGAAGAAAGTGCTTACTAGTTCTAGGCATACAAGTACTGTATGCATGTTTGTTATATTAAAAATTAAAAAAAAATTGAGACACCTGGGTGGCTCAGCCGGTTAAGCATCTGCTTTCAGCTCAGGTCACGATCGCCAGGGTCCTGGGATCGAGTCCCGCACCGGGCTCCCTGCTCAGCGGGGAGCCTGCTTCTCCCTCTGCCTGCCACTCGCCCTGCTTGTGCTCGCTCTCTCTCTGACACACAAAGTCTTAAAAAAAGACCTCTAAAAATTTTTTAAAAATTACAGCAATCTTAGAACAGTGTGATTATTTTCATTTTACTGGTGCTGAAACAGGTGGCGAGGTTAAGTGACTTGCTGGAGTCCATAGGGCTATTGAGGGCATAATGAAATCTAGAAACAGATCTGACAGACTCCCAAATTGTGGCTCGTAGGCGCAGTGCTAAACTGCTTCCCTGGACATGCAGGTGAAGAGTGTGATTTCTAGGAGGCCAGGCGGCCTGGAACGGAGGGGGAAGCAAGCAGGCGCTGAGAGTCCAGGGGATAAACAGCAGCTAGGGTCCAGGAGGTGAGCAGAGGTCCTGCTTGAGGACATGGCTGGCTCCGTGCTGGGAGACAGCCGCCTGGCTCCCCAGGCCTGTTCCAGGGAGAGGTCAAGTCCCTTGGGTAGCCAAAGATTCGGATTACAGCCAGAGGGCTGAACCTTCTTCCTGGGACCTTTTCCTCCTTGCCTGTTTTCTGGGTGACCACAGTCAAGCTAGTTAACCCTTTTGTACCTCAGTTTCCTCATCTGTCAAAGAAGGATAAGGATACTTGGCCTGCCTACCTCACAGGGTTTTTGAGAGGCATCAGTGGCTCATGGATCTGGAGACAGTTGAAAAAGCATGAAGCAGTCCCCAATTCCAGATGAGAGCGTGAGCCCAGATCCTCTTACTGTGAGGCTCCAGTGCGGGCCTCCGAGTCCTCCAAAGCTCATGCTAGTGATGTCCACTGTCAAAGCCTTTTCCGTCAATTCCAGCATGGTCTATGGAGCCATGTAGAACCTCGTCTCTTTTTTGGGGGATTTTACGTCCCTCTGTGAGCATAAGATAGTAGTTGAGCCCCGTCTGGGTCCGTGGGAAATTTTCCTTCTGTGTGGGCTTTTATTTTCAAGGGCCAGAACCAGCGTCTCTTTCCAGGGTCCACAGTCATCCCAGCCCCCATTCTGGGCGCTCTGCCATCCTTTGGTTCCAGCCCTTGGCACAAGGCAGACTTGGGCTGTTGTTAGCGCACAGTCTTGGTTCTGTGCTTGCCTTGTAGGGAACAGGGAGGCAGCTGACCCTTCCCCTGGGTGTCCTTGTCTCTCTGGGCTTCCCTTTAGGGGTGTGTGTGTGGGGGGTGTGTGTGCGTGTGTGTGTGTGTGTGTGTGTTGTGGGCCGTGGAAGCCCCAGAGGCCAGGCCTCGCGCCAGTTGCTGAAGTTTTTTTTTTCTCTAGAATTGAGTTGTCCATCCAGCTGTTTCCATTCCTTGCCCTCTGCCAAACTCTGTGGCACGGTCCACCGTGCCAGGTGGAAACCGCGCTCTGCTTCAGAAATCCGGAGCTTCCATTTTCAGAGAGGCAGAAAGCCGCAGCAAGTGAGCCCGCATGTCGGAGGGAGAGTGGGGGTGGGGCTGCTCCCTTTGGCAAGCCTTTGTCAGAATTGGCCCAGCTGCTTGGTCTTCACCCAAAAGTAGGGCTAACTCTGGACCGACCCCAAATATCTAGCAGCGAAACTATTCTTGGATCTAGACCAAGCCAGATCTAGAAACTACTTTTTTTTTTAAATCCAGAAAATGGGAATAAGAAATCCTACTACGCATGTTCTTCATGTCAGCCGAGAAATAAGCTTTTAGACCGCCCACCGCCTTCTCACCAGGAGCAAGAAGTGACATCAGGTTGTGTTTCTTCAAGTATATCCCATAGACTACTGAGGGTTCTGTGAACAAAAAAAGAAGGGGCACCTGGGTGGCTCAGTCGTTGGGCGTCTGCCTTCAGCTGAGGCCATGATTCCAGGGTCCTGGGATCGAGCCCCACATCGGGCTCCCTGCTCCATGGAAAGCCTGCTTCTCCCTCTCCGACTTCCCCTGCTTGTGTTCCCTCTCTCACGTCTCTCTCTGTCAAATAAATAAGTAAATAAGTAAATAAATAAATCTTTATAAAAAAAATAGGCACTGGCTCACTAAGTTTGGGAAACACTAGATAAACCATTTTAAGCAGGTTTTGTAGTTGCAGAGACCACCCAGATCCTCACTATACCACCAGGATACAGGGTGACTCTCCAGGGGATCTAGTCTATGTGACATTTCTTCCATTGTAACTAGCTTTCTTCGTGGAACATTCTTTAAGCACCATCCCTGCCAAATATGCTTTGGAAGCTGCCAGCCTAGGTTCTAAGTGTCTGTCCCTTCCATTCTTTTTCTCCCTCATTGTGAAGGGAGGTGAGCCCCGGAAACGCATGGGGGAGGGGGTTACGATGCGGGTCCCAAAGAGCAAGGGCGTTTCACTTCAGAAGCTATTGACATGAGTGTTTCCTGCTCTGAAACACCTCTTTCCCCTCTCCTGTCCTTACAGCTCCCCTTCGAACTGGAGATTTACTACATTCAGCATGTTATGCTCTACGTGGTACCCATCTACCTGCTTTGGAAAGGAGGTAAGGCCAGTGAACCATACCTTTGTGCCCCTGCCACACCTTGTCGCGCCCTTCTGTTTGGGGGGATGGCAGTCTGTTGGGTGTCTGTCAGGATCTTGGGCTCCTGCCTGGCTGGCTGGCTGCAGGATGTCTTATGCCACACGCCAGGGGTGGGGAGATGGGCACTGATAAGGCCTGCAAAGAGTCTGGGGGGCTTTTCAGAACCATCCTTTGTGGGCGAGCATGGTGCCACTAACTGTGTGCCCTAGGGCCTAGGCCTTGGGCTCGTCGTCTGTGGTGGCATTGGGTTTGCATGGAGCCCCCCCACACACACACACACTCTGTCACTCGCTCGTGCTGTTCCTTCCCCCTGCCTCAGTGTGCAGCACAGGGGTAGAAGGAGAGATGGAAGCCCCCAGCCCTCTCAAGAGAGGGACCTTGAGCCCTTGCTCATTATATCCATCCTCTCAGAACCAAAGAAGATATTGAGAGGGGCAAGTAGTTCAGGGACTGTGGGGTTATAGGATGGAAGGAAGAAGCAGGTAAGAGAAGAGTGATCACCTTATAAAATAAACCATTGATGACCTTGATTTTGTCACAAGGGAGAGACAACGAACTTGGTAGAGACAGCCTAGGGCGGAAACTGACTGACCTCTTTGTGACCTCACAGTGACCCTTCAAGTACCCCCTCCCTCCTCTCTTATATGGTAGATAAAAGGGGAGTTCCCATCCCTTCTAGAAGAGTTGTCAGAGGCCTCCCTCTCAGGGCTCTAACCTTCCTGAAAGGCCTGTACCTGGAAGGCATCCCCTTCTAGTCTCAGCTACTAGCCTCTCTATGTTGGTTGCTGGGACTTTTCAGGGAGACCGCGCCCCCCACCTCAATTCAAGCAGCAAGTCCTTCATTGCTATGCATTAAAAATGACATGAGGCCACATGGGCCCTTGAAGCCACCAGAAGATGGTTTGGAAGTTGTGCTTCCTCTAACTCAGGAATCCTGGAAAATCTCGAGAACTTCTGGCCTAAGCCAGCCTCAAGGACCAGTCAACCTCGAGACATGTTGGAGGATGGGCACAGTTGCTCTCCATGGAGTCTCCTGCCAGTGGAGAGATTGGCCCCCTGTGCCCTGGTTTCTGTCAGCCTTCTTAGGATTTGTCTCAGTATTCTTTGAGGCTGTTTTTACCCTGTGCAGCCACTTGGGGTCTCACCAAGTCAGAGAACACTTCCTTTTAATTTGCTCTAAAGGTACTATTCCCCCGTCTAAGTTTAAGGAATGTCTCAATATCCAGGAGCCGTGGGCCAGTTTTCAGGTCTGTCTCCTGTGGCGCAGGAAACAGCTTCCTAATAATATCCAAGTCTGGGGGATACATGCCTTCTGAATAGAACCAGGCGGGCCGCTGTCTCTAGCTCCAGACTGCCCCCCCTCCCCCTCCCCACTGAGGCAAGTTCTGGCCAAAAGGTGCGTGGCTCTTAGTTAAACCTATCTGTGCTCTGAGGTGCCCATAAAAGTCTGTTAGGTAGCCGAGCTGACTGTTCTGACATGGGAAATACCAAGTAGCCATCCCCACTGCCCCCTGCACCCCCCCACACAAAACCCCACAATCTGGGAAGCTGCAGCTTCTAGAAGTCATAGATGCCACTGCAGCCTTCTGTTGGATCTATTGCTGCACCATTTGGGGGGAACTGAGCGGAGGAAGTAGAGATTCCAAGGTTTCATTCCAATTTATTTCTCACTGTTAGTGATTCTTTCCTCTCTCCTCTGGTACCTCTGTAAAAACTCTAACAGTAATTATAACCATAGTAAACACCAACTTTGTCTTGAGTGTTGCCTGTGTGCGAGATACTTCGCTAGGCCCGTTCTGTGCGTCTTCTCATCATAACCAACCCTGGTGGCAAATGCCCCTTCTACAGAGGAGAAAACCCGGGCTCAGAAATGTGAGGCACCTCGAGCTCCCAGCCTTAAGTAGCAGAGCCAGGATTCAAAGCCTTCCCTCTCAGAGCAGCGCTTTTCCCCACACACTTTGTTGTCCTAAAAGGCAGGTGCCTGTCTCCTAACCACATCCGGTTGGGAGTCTCCCCTCCAGCCAGCCGCCCCCCCCCCCGCCATGGTGTCTTTGTTGAACCCCTACTACGTGCCCAGCATTCGCACCAGGGAATCAGAGATTCCCCGCCACAGGGAGTCCCTGTCTAGGGGGGACGGGAGCGTTGTACTTGTAATACAGCGGGATTAAGTGCGACAGAGGGCTCTAGGGGAACATAATCCGATTCATTTGTTACCATTTCTGGGCCCTTGTAAAGCCTCCGCTTCCTTTCTGGCTCTTTGCTGTCATCTGCTGTTCGCTTGGGGGAAATTACGCACGCTTAGAGAAAAGGCTAGATTTCCTAAGGTGGGTTTCACCTTTGGCCCCGAACCTCGGACCTGGGCCTTGCAGAGGGCGAATCCATCCGGAGTGAGCAGGGGGAAGATGACTCCCCGTAAATCAAAACAGCTGAGGGGTTGGGAGATTCTCTTTCCTAGAAGTCTTGTAATTTCCCAGACATAACTGACTTCGGAGTGTCTGCCCAAGGCAAGACAGCTCTCCTGTAGATACCTCCCACGGCCAGGAGCCCTGTTTTCCTGAAAGGCTTGGGGGTGGCTGGGTGGTGCTCAGCGGGATCCCATTCCTCCTTGGTTTCTGTGGTCTTTTGGCACCGCCGCAGGAAACAAGACATCCTTTCCCCCCGCCCCCCGCTGTTCTGTTCTTCCTCCAGCCTGTCTTTTAATTTCTGTTTCCTCTCCTCCCAGCTCCTTGCCTTTGGCTCTCTGGAACTACAGTTGATCCTTGAACAATGCGCAGGTTAGGGATGTCCCCCCACGCCCACAGCCTGATACCCATGCACAACTTTTGACTCCCCCCTAAATTTAAATCCTAATAGCCTCCCCTTGACCGGAAGCCTTACTGGTAAGAGAAACTGTCAATTAGCACCTAGTGCGTGTGCCATATGTATTATGTACTGTATTCCTACAATAAAATAAGCTGGAGAAAAGAAAATGTTGTGAAGAAAATCATAAGGAAGAGAAAACACATTTCTGGTACTGTTCTGTATTTGTCAGGAAAAAATCCACATCTAAGTAGACCTGCACAGTTCAAACCCGTGGTGTTCAAGGGTCAACCATATAGTTTTTAGAACCCCATCGCCACCAACGTAACCAGCTCCCCATAGAACACCTAGCCCTCCTATCTCTTGCCCGAAGCTCCCTCTAATGGACGCTGCTCTCCCTATTCAGCCACATAGGCTGTCGGCGCCCCTCCTCCCGCCATCTCTTCCAGACCAGTATGTCATTTCTCCCTTCGATGAAAATGCTTTCTCCTTCACCATTCTCTCCACCTTTTTTTTTTTTTTTTTCATCACTACTACCACCCTTGGCTGCTTCCCCATATTCCTAAATTAGCCTTTGGCCCCTGGCACTCGATCGTTTCTATTACAACTCCACTGCAGTGACTTCTGTCACTCTTGTCTTCAGCCAACCGACCTTGCCCTCCCCCTGCCCCTAAAACTCCTCTGTCTGAGATCCTTAGCCCCAATTACTGGAGCTTTCCTTTCACCAGCTCCCCAAAGTGCTGCCGCCCTTCATCCTTTCCACGGGGATCCGCGTCCAGTCCCAGTGCCCAGCCTTGGCCCTACTGGGGGAAATCTCTCAAGTCATTCAGATTTGGGGCTACTAAAACTTCATGGTCTGTTATAATTGTGCTCTCAACACCATCGCTCTTGTGTTCTGTCTTTGGTCAGCTGTGCTACACATTGCCCTGAGAAGTCATGTGCTGAACCTTGACCACCCACCTCAAACTTCCTGTCCTCCCCACAGTCAACCAAGGACTGAGAAAACAGAGATTTCCAGGCAGGAATCCCCTCCGTTATTTCCCTCTGCTCTAAAAGCTGCTTCACCCACCCGTCCTCTGGAACTCCGTGCCATCAAGTATCACTCGTGTACTTGGGTTTTCTTTTCTTTTCCCTTTGTTTCATTTACCTGGATTTTCAGCTCTTTCACTCCTGGCCTTTCAGCCAAGAAGGATGCTGAAGTCTTCCCATTCTAAAAAAGAAAGTTTCTCTCGACCCTACACCATCTCTTTTCGTCTTCCCTTCCCAGCTAACCGTCTTCATAGATTATTAGCCGAACAAGATTTCCTAAGCTTCAGTTCTTTGGGCATGACAACTTGTGCCTTATCCACAGAGCCATCTGTATTATTATGTATTTAATATATGTCCTTAAGTCTACTGATTTTTCTTTTTCCTAAAATATATTTGTTTGCGGGGCACCTGGGTGGCTCAGTCAGCTAAGCGTCTGCCTTTGACTCAGGTCAAGATAGTGGAGAGTCTACTTCTCCCTCTCTCTCTGGCCCCCTCCCCCCGCTCTCTCTCAAATAAATAAAAATCTTAAGAAAAATTTTTATATATTTATAAATAAGTATACATTTATATATTTATAACTATATATTTATATATATATGAATTTATAAATATACGTATATATGTTTTTCTGAAATATGTTTGTGCTCAATAAAATCCCGGATTCAGTGCACTGGTGACATATTTTTAATACACTTTAAATGCATAGCTATTAAAAATGAAATGTTTACCTGTTTACCACCTGAAATCACCCCAGGAACAGAACATAACTGTGGGTGGCACTTGCCTGCATTTGATGACCCCGTCTACTCAGTTACCTCCCATCCCTCAGAACACTGCCATGGGATATCTCTCTCCCCGCTGCCCACCTCTTCACAGAAATAACACTGCTGACCATTACTAGCAACGCCTACCTGACCAAACCTAATGGCTCCCTCTCAGAATTTATCCTGCCGGAGCTCTCTGCTGCAATGGACACTGTTGATCCCTCCTCTTTGGAACACTCCGCTCTTGAGGGCCTGCCTCGCTGACCATGCCTCCCCACGCCTCCATCAGGAGTTATTTTGCCTCTGTCCCTGACATGTTCGTTTCCCCAGAGTTCTGTTCCGCTCTTGCCTCTTGCTCCACTGCTTCCC